TATTTAATTTATTTTGAGACAGGGTTTTGCTAAGTCATTAAATTGGGCTTGAGCTTGGGCTCTTCCTGTTTTAGCTTCCCTGAGTATAGAGATTACAGGCATGTGCCACCACACCTGGCCTTTTCCTTTCTCTTTTGATACCCATGACTCCTTGTTCCTTTGTTGGGGTGATGGCTGGGGGAGGGAGTGTCATGGTATGACTCACCATGCCGTCTTCTGTACTGTTGAATAAGCAAGAATTTTATCATCTTCACATACTGGCAATATTTTTCTCTTGCTTGTCAAATTCTATAACTTTCCTCCATTTTTGTATTGCTTCACTGGCCAGGACTAAGACCATCAGTAAAGTATTTAATAGAAGCAGTGATAGCAGATAGGCTTGTTCCCAGTTTTAAATAAATTGCACCTGTGAAAATAAACACATGATTTTTATCTTAATATGTTTCCTAATAGTAAAAACTTTTTATTCCTGGATTAAACTGCTTGACTTTGACATATTTTTGTACTTTCAGGATTTAGACTTGCTAATATTCTATGTAGGTTTGATATTTTGGTTATCCTCATAGAATGAGTTGGGTTTGCCTCCTGTTTTCTATTCTCTGGAACAAGTGTAGAATGAGGATTGCAGGGCTGGTAGAACTCTGTTAAACTGTCTAGACTATTGAGTTTTTTGATCTACTATTTTCAACCCTTTATGCCACAATGTTACATGATTTAAAAATTTTTCCCTTTCTTGACTAAGTTTTGGTAGGTTATTTTTTTTTTTTTTTTTTTTTTTTGGTACCGCGGATTGAACTCGGGTCCTTGTGCTTGTGAGGCAGGCGGCAGAACCACTGAGCTAAATCCCCGGCCCGGTAGGTTATTCTTTTCTAGGAAATTATCATCTTTAGGAAAATATCCATATTTCTTACTTTTGAGTAGGTGTACACATGTTCTTTTATGGCTTGAAAAAAAATCTGCCAGGTCTATATTTATAGCCTCTTTTTATTCCTGATATTGTTTGCTTGTGACTTCCTTCTTTTCTTCTTCTGCTCTCTTATCAAAAGCACATCTAGTTTGTTATTCTTTGGGGGGAACTAACTTTTCAAGCTTATTGTGTGTGGCAGGCACAATTCTAAGCAGTAGACTCACTAAAATGGATAAATTCCTTGCCTTGTTTGAAAGCATATTCTAACGATGGGAGAGAATCAATAAACACTAAGTATAACAAATTAGTAAATCCCATAGATTAGATTAGAGTAGATGAGAGACTGATGATCGCCATACAAATAAATAGATCGAGGTAAGAAAGATGGAGAGAACTGGGGTGAGGTGCTTGAGCAGACTACAATTTAAACAGGGTGGTGAGAGTGCAGAAAAGGGAACTTGAGCAGAATTCAGGGAGGGGAGGGGACTCTCCGTGTAGATACTTAGGAGAAACATTCCGGGGAGAAGGCACAGCCACGGAAGAGGCCAAGATCAAGCAGGATGAAGAGTGAGGGGATACCTGGCTGGAGCAGAGTAGGGTAAAGCAGAGGACTCCTGTCAGTTATTGTCAGCTGCCCTCCTCTCCCCACTGAGCTACATCCCCAGCCCATTTTTTATTTTTTATTTTGAGACAGGGTCTTGCTAAATTCCCAGGCTGGCCTTCAGCTTGCAATCCTCCTGCCTCATCCTGCTGAGTAGCTGGGATTACAGGTGTGTGGCACTGCATGCAGTTTGTGTTATTCTTTTCTCAGCTAAAAGATTAGTCTATCTCATTTAACCATTTTCCTTCTGATATATGCTTTTAAAGTTATACATTTCCCCTGTTAGAAGTTTTTTTGTTTTTGTTTGACAAACAGTGATTCATGAATTGGGCAGCTCCTGAAGGCAAGTGGTCCTAGAATTTACCAAAGAGATGCGAGGGAAAAACTTTTAAAAGGTGGGTGTGGAGCAAGGGAAGAAAATACTTGATTAGTTAAAGTGGTGCTGTCACCTTAAAGTCCCTAGTTGGAGACTGGTTGGCGACTTCTGATTGGTAAAGCTGAAGTTTCTGCTCTCTGTGAGTGGGTTTTCAGTTTGCTGAGGTAGGAACCCAAGCACTAGAGTCATCTCAGTCTAATCATCTAACTTCCCACTAGACTTCCGGTCACTTTAATATCCTAAGGGCTGTTAGCCATTTTGCACAAATTTTGATATGTATTGTTTTATTGTCACTTAGTTTTAATGTTCTCTACATTGTGGTCATTCTTTAACCCACATATTGCTTAAAGGAATATTTTCACATTTCCAGATATATTTATAAGTAAGCTCTGTTATTGGTTTCTAATTTTATATGGATAATATCATTGAGATAATATTGATTCTTTGATGTCTGTTGGAGCCTGCTGGATTAGTCAGCTTTGCATTACCACAACGAAATACCTGTGGCAACTAATGTTAAAAAGAAAAGAGTTAGCTCACAGCTTTGGAGGTTTCAGTCTAAAATCAGGTAGCCCCATTGGCTTGACCTGTCATTTGGGCAGCACATCACAGCAGGAGATTGTGTAGGAACAAAAGGTCACCTCTTGAGCCAGGAATAGAGAGAGGAAGAGGAAGTGTATGGGGCCCCCATACTGCTCTTAAAGGTTATTCCCCCACTAATCTAAGAATATTCTGTTGGGCACCACTCTTAAATGTCCACTGTGCCTCCCAATACTACTACTTTGGGAACCGAGACTTACACCTTTAGGAGATACACAAATTACACCCCAACCATAGCACTTGCTTTGTGACATATGACACTATTTTTAAAAAGATTCTTAATTCTGTTTGACAGAGGCAGGTTCTCCTATGTAACCAATAGAACAGATCTACTAATTTATGTGGTTCTGATCTTTTGCTCAAACAGAGACTTTTCATTCTTTCTTTAAAAGGCAGAGGCAGGAGAAGGTAGATGAAACATGAAGCAGTCTCTTACACTATGGAACTCAAGTTGTAGGCTGAGGAGCTCAAGGAGTCTCTGCTTGGTGTGGGCTTGATCCCAGGAGGGCCCAAGACCTGGCTGCTTGGAAGGGCTATGCCAGGGGATGAGGACAAGGTCTGGGGTTCAGAAGCAGCGATGGCAGTGATGTTCAGAAGGCCTTATGGCAGGAGGTATTCTCTATGGGCTGAGTTCCCACAATTCACCCATAGCGCCCCATCCCAGGGTAGCTGGGTCCACACTTATGTGGTATATATGCTCCCCGGTTAGCTCTTCTAGCAGACTACCACTGCAGAACCTAAAACTCTTTTCTTCCTTGGTGAAAGGGCCTGCACAGAACAAAGTCTCCAACCTGGAGTCTCTTCTGAACCACTAGTTCTGTGAATCACTTTGTTGCATGACAGTGATGCCAGGGAGCGGCCAGCAGTGGCATGATTAGGCTGTGTGCTTGCTGCCTCTGCCAGTCCGTCCCCGTAGGAAGTTCTGGGAGTCAGGAACTCCACACTCCTTTATCACAAAAGTGGACTTGGGGGTAGAATGCTGGGTATTGAATTAGGCTGATTTTCAGCTTCTGGGGAAGGAAGTTTTATGTTTGCTTTTTTTTTTTTTCTTCATGTTTGTTACTTTAAAAACCCTTCAGTGACCAAAAAAATATCCAGTTATAGGGTGTACTGTATGCATGTCATACAGTGCTGTAGGGCAGGTGTAGCTTGTTAAGGCTCTTTTCTATGGAGGGCCAGGCAGCCAATGGTGAGGCACTGGAGGGCCCTAGTGTGGCCCTTGCCTCCTGGTAAGGACAAGAAGGGATTAGGCTGGAGAAGGGGGTTTGAAACCCTTTGGATGGGCTTTTCAGACCAGGGCGACTGATTGCTTGGTTGCCCACAGTTCTTTTTAAGAATTAGTTTTGCTTTGCTAGGGCTGCCATTACAAAGTGCCACGCACTAGGTGGCTTAAACAACAGAAATTTAGTATCTCACAGTTCTGAGGGCTGGAAGTCTGAGACAGCACTCTCAGCAGAAATGGCTCCTTCTGAGGGCCATGAGGGAAAGACTTGTTCCAGGCTTCTCTGTAGCTTACAGATGACTGCCTTCTTCCTGTGCCTCTTCACATCGTCTTTCCCCTACCCCTGTCCAAATTTTCTCTTATAAGGACAGTGGTCATATTGGATTTGGGCCACTCTACTGGCCTCATTTTAACTTAATTACCTTTTAAAGCTCTCTCTCCAACTTTGGCCATATTCTGAGGTATTAGTGGTTAGCACTTTCACTTTCACTTTCACATATGAATTTTGGTGAGTGGCACTCCACTCAGCCCCGGACAATAGCTATGGCACCATGGCCTTTAGCATCCTCCAGTTGAGCAATATCCATGTTACCCTTTGGTATTTTATCCTTAGGCATAAAAAAATTCACGTTTTTGTTATAGAACTTTTAACAAATGAGTGAGTGATAATTACACTAGTTCAGTGGTAGCTAACCTATGGCACAGGTGTTATTTGTTTTTCTTTTATGACAAAAGATTTAAAAAAATTTTTTTTATTAAATTCTTTTATTGGTACATTGTAGGTATACAACACAATTACATTTCTCATTGGGAATTGTACCTTTATATAATGCATCTTGGTTCTTATTTTTTCTCCATTTCTAGCCCTCCCTTCACGCCCTCCACCCTTCCCTATTTACAAAGACTTTATTTCCATTTCTCATCATTTTTCCTTTCCCTTCTTTCGTTTCCCCTGCCCCTCCCACTACCCCTACCCCTTTGGACCTTTTCTTCCTATTTTATGACAAAAGATGTTAATGTATGAGTTGTTTTTTTCCTAAACTAAAACCTCAGTATTCAGGTTTAACTGCAGTGTTAGCACTTTGCAATAAATAAGTGGGTTTTGGGTTGTGGTCTGGGCACTCACCTCTAAAAAGTTCACCATCACTGCACTAGCTGATTTCTAGTAAAGCTCATTCCTCTAAGCCCCTCTTTTTTCTCTCCTTCTAAGAATCTCTTTCTTCCTTCTAAAAACAAATCCCCTCATTCTAAATGATTTTGTTTTGTTTTGTTTTATTTTGTTGTTTTCCTCTAGGGGATGCACCTGCTGCCCCACAGCCAAAATGCACTGACTTCCAGAATGCCAACCCCTTCCGAGGCACCAACCTGAAAGTCCAGTTTCTCCTCTTCATCCCTTTAGATCCTGGATGTGGGCAGCTACTGGGAGAAAGCAGTGACATCCAAAAATCTGGATTCAATGCCACTCTAGGAACCAAGCTAATTATTCATGGATTCAGGTGGGAGCTAACCAACCAATAGGCTCTCCTCTCCTAAGAATCATGCAGGGCCCATAAAGCCACAGGAAATTAGTGGGGAGCAAAGGGGGAAACAGATTTACTGGCTGTCACACATCCCACCCCTCATGGCCTGCTGTCTTTGATGGTGTCTTGTATAATCCTGCATATTCATTATGCTGTTCATTCTCGTTGTTCATACATGTTATTCCTCTATTCAGTCTTGTTCACACACTCACAAACAGTACACAGATAGTTTAGTTCCCATATCTGAATCAAAGAGGTTGTACTAGGGATGGTCTAGTAGTCCTTGGATAAAAACACTGTGGTGGGTAGGGTGGAATTTCAACTTGATTGGCTTTGGGATCCACCCTGGGGACTGAGAGCACACTTCTCAGTGTGAGCCATGGAGGTGTGGCCTTGGGGTCTATGACTGGTCCCTGGTCCCTTCCTTTCTGTCACTGTTCCTCTGTTCTGTTTCCTGGCCACCATAAAATGAGCAGCTTTGCTCCTCCATGTCCTTCCATCATGATGTTTCAGCTTGGAACCAGCCAATCATAGACTGAAACTATGCACAAATAATTAAACCTCTCTTCCTTTAAGTTGTAGGTGCTGGGTATTGCATTCAACAATGAGAAAGAACTAATACAAACACCATCCTGTTAGCCAGGGTGTATGGGTTGCATGATATAACTCATTTCAGACAAGATCACAGGCTTTTTGCAGTTACTCAGAAGTAACAGCATGGTGTTTTCACTCAGGGTTTTATTTCCTCTTTTTCACTTTTTCCCTGGTTTCATGACCTGATAAACTTCTATTTAGGTTGCTATTTTCATCATACTCAAAGATTGACATTTCTCAGGAGCTAGGCACTTCTCTTCTGCAATTTCTGACACCCTACAGCACAAATTTTGTTGTAATAAATAGTCACTCAGTTTCATTTCAGTCACCATCTTTCTTTCACATACCTATTCTCCAAAGCCCACCAACAAGACCAAAAACAGAGAAAGGTTTCTGGGAGGAAGGAGGGCATGGCTTTGTAAAATACCAGCACCATTCAGCAGTTAGAGTTAAAGAGGTGGCCACAGGCACTGCCCAGAAGCTCACCAGTTTCTGATCTTTGGTCTCTCTCTGTCTCTTTGACTCTCATACTCAACTGCTTATTCATTCTCTAGCAAATCTTACATTCAGCCACAACACAAGGCTGAGTGTGTACCTCCAACCAGGGATAGTGAGTAGAGAGTTATCAGACTAGTTATTCGATCTGCTCTTAAATCCCCAAAACCACATCCCAGGGTTCATACCCAGTCTGTACTTCTCTGTCTGTGTGAGCAAGCTCACATTGTTCCTATTGTGGGAATTATTGGAAACACTTCTTTTTTGGTCTCAATCAGTTGGGAAAGCTTCCTGAAGAATTTTCCATCACTCTTTTCCTGAAAACACTCATTATACTGTAAGTTGCAGAAGAACAGGGACTATATTTTACTTGCCTTTATTTCTTGGAAAACAACTAGCATATTGTGTGGCTCATAGGTACTCAGTAAGTGTTTAGTGAATGGACAGGTACAAAAATGAATGAGCATCCTCAAGGAAAGAGCCTATGTTCTAGATTGGATTTAAGATTGCAAATCCTAACTCTAAGGTACAAAGCAATTTTCTTTTCCACAAATAACACACACAGAGTCAGGAGAGGACATATGGCATATGTAATGTATGCACTGCACAAAGGTGGCTGATGAAGGTAGTGCTAAAATCCAACCTAAGTTCTGGACACTGGCATGAGGCTGCATCTACTGGGAGCAAAAGGCAGCCTTGTATAAGGCTTGGCAACTTTGGACTTCTGTTCACCCTGTGTTCACTGTGCGATTGACTCCCTGTATACCCCTCTTTGGTTTGGACTTCTCCTCTGGATTTGGGATTAATAGAGGTTTCCATGGCAATGGATTATCAGCTTGGCAGCTAATTTTCCTCTTTATTTTTGGCCCCATGTCAAGGGCTTTAGGAACAAAGCCTTCCTGGATCGATGCATTCATTAGAGCCCTTCTGCGAGCAGCAGATGCTAATGTCATTGCTGTGGATTGGGTTTATGGATCTACGGCTGTCTACTACTCAGCCGTGGATAACGTTGTTAAGCTGAGCCTAGAGATCTCCCGTTTCCTCAGGAAACTCCTGGTAGGTGCAGAAGAGCTCGAGGTGAGTTCTGGCCACTTATGGAGAAATGAAGGTCAGGTAGAAAAAGTAGGCCCAGAGGAGGTGGGAGACTGAAGCAGAGACCTCCAGGGACTTGTTAGTCTTTGGCTCAAACCCTGAGCTGGCCATTTGGAGTGCTGACCTTGGGCAGAGTATTGAAGGTCACTGAAGCTTCACTCCTCTTCTGTAAGATGCACGGTTGCATGGTGAGTGGCATTTATTAGGTTGCCTGGCATTTAGTAGACCTTCAAAAGGGACCAGCCCTGGTCATTACTCACAGACTTTGAAGTAAGGGGACTGTTAGCGAGGGGAGCCCAGGGGGAGTACAGATGATTAATGGATAAGAGTCTACCCTTTATTTCAAATCTGTCTGGTGGGTGTATTATCCCAGGGCTCTCAGCTTCTGAAGCCCCAGGGAAAAGCCACTGTGGCCCAAATGAAAGCCACTGTCAACACTCTTCCAGGATCTGGGTGTGTCAGAGTCTTCAATCCACATCATTGGTGTTAGCCTAGGAGCCCACGTCGGGGGCATGGTAGGACACTTCTTCAAAGGCCAACTGGGACGGATCACAGGTAACCTTCCTCCCTGCCCTTTCTCCCAGTGTTTAGAAGTAGAGAGTGACTGCCCTGGTAATTCCTCTTTTGATATGAGCAGGGAGTGTGTTGAGTCTTTGTTGTTATTACTGACTCATTTATTGCCAATGCAGTTTATTTATTCTGGTCTTTTTTGTTTGTCTGTTTTTCTTTTTTTTTTTTTTTTTTTCGGTACTGGGGATCGAACTTGGGACCTTGCACTTTTGAGGCAGGCAGTAAAAACACTGAGCTAAATCTCCGGCCCTTATTGTGGTCTTTTTTGCTTAAAATGGTATTATATTATCATTGCATGAACTCTAATATCAGTACCATGTGTTTCTTTCTGTGTCTCAGTGTCTATATCTGTAAAACAGGTTGTAATAGCCTGCATCTCCTTGGCCCATGGTGGAAATCACCTTCACATAGTTTTGTTAAATACCTGTGAAGGTGTGGGGACTTTATGCCTCAGGAACCACTATCAATCAATAAAGGACTAGGGTTATGTGGTAAATACCCCAGCTTCCTAGCCCTTCAGGGAGGCAATTCTCAGTTCTGCTCTCCAGAATCCCTCAGAGAGACCCCTATGGGATAATACCCAGTTGTCCCTGAAGGTAAATATTATTCATATTCAGCCTTTGCCAAATGTTTGGTATTATCAAACTCATTTAGAGCCAGAAAAACAGGATCATTGAGAGGCTATCTCAAGAGAACCAAGTTTCTTTGGTAAGGTGGGTCAGTTCTCCCAGTTCATGGTCCTTCTTGGAGAGCTCAGAGGTCTGAACTGGAGGCCTTGGGTAGGGCTGTGGTAGATCTACAGTGGTTCCTGCAGCTGTGAAGGAAGGGGTTCCTGATACCAGTCTGTCCTTGCAGGCCTGGACCCCGCAGGACCAGAGTACACCAGGGCCAGCCTAGAAGAGCGCCTGGATGCTGGAGATGCCCTCTTCGTGGAAGCCATCCACACAGACACTGACAGTGAGCTGGGGTTGGTGAGAGCACCAGGCAGGGGCTACAGGCTGCCGTCTGGTTCTGAGGCCCTGCCTGTCCTAGGACCTCTGCTGAATAGGGAGGAGTTTACCAGGATGATCTTGAAAGTCTCTTCCAGCTGTCATTCTGTGGCCCCTGAGATGACTGGTTTTTGTTTTAGTCACCAATATGCAGGAGAATTCTCATTCCTGGACCCAAGCTGTTTGTTTGGGTACCTCACTCTCTGATTCAACACCAAGCTTTGTGCTGAGATGGGGCTGGGGTGGGAGACACTGCTGGCTGGCTGACTGACTTACAGGAAAGCCGTGCTGCTTTTCGGGACTAGTGTGCTGGGCCCTGGAACAGGGACATTCCATTCCTCCGGCATGTGGGCCCGCCAGGACTTCCATCCTCCCCAGGGACAGACCCCGTTCAGTGGAGAACAAGAATCCCCCTTCCAATAATGATAGGCACAGGAAAGGCCCTTTAACTCTCAGACCTTATGACAAAATCAAGCCCTTCTGCACAACTAGGAAAGGAGGTGCCACTCTGCCTCATTTCTACTGGGTATAAGACACTGACTGAGTCTGCCAGGCACAGGGCTCAGCCTCAGTGGAACAAGGGGAAACATCTGCCCCTGACCAGAAGAGCTTGCAGTTCAAGTGCTTTACCCCAGGGCTATACTCCCAGCCCTGGGCTTACAGTTCAATGAGAGATGTCCATGTCTCATCCCCATTTGTCAAAAGCCTTCTTTTAGTATCCGACACCCCAAGATGCATGGTTCCAGAAGAAACCCACGCAGTCACACTGCCTAACCCTTGTTCCCATTTTCATGGCACTGGTAGGAAAACAAAGCCCATGGAGCTCTACCTGGCTATGTTAGGGTAATTGACCTTGTTCATTAATAACATGAATGCCTTCTTCCCTAGGTTTGCTAAATAGGGCCCCTAAATATGTAAGATAGGCCTCTCAGACCCTTCAAAGTTGGAGCCTCTTCCTGATGGTGCTGAAAAACAGCCATTCCATTTGTTCAATCTTTATTGAGCTGTGTAGCCAGCCCTGAGAATATAGCAATGAACAAGGCCTCAGAGAAAGTCCCTGCCTGAGTGGAACACACAGGCGACATGGACAGGCATCCACTCATTCATCACTCAGTAACTGTTAAGTAAGCACTCACTCTGAGCCAGAGACTGTGCTAGGTGTTGAGACCCCAGCCAAAATAAAGACAGGCAAAAGGCCTGTGGTGGAGGAGCTTATATCCGAGGAAATAACCAAGATCATTACACATCATGATTATTGTAATGAAGGACAGGTGAGAGGGTAGCATGGGTGTGGGGCCCACTTCACAGAGGATTACTAGGGAATGTCTGTCCGTAAAGGTGAGACTTAGGAGACGAGGATTTCAGCTCTAGGAGAAGAGCATTCCAGGTAGAGAGGACAGCCCCAGGAAGGCCTGAATGTGGGTGAGGCCTGGACTTGTTTCAGAGACAGGAGAGAGAAGTGTGTGGGTAGAGCACAGCAAAGGGAGAAGAGGTATTGGGCAGAGGGCACCAGTCCAGGCTGCCTATGGCAAGGAGCTTACATCTATGTCCCTGGACCTTTTTAAATTTTGAGACAGTAGGGGCCAGGGATTTAGCTCAGTGGTTCCGGCGCCTGCCTTTCGAGTGCAAAGTTCAATCCCCCTACCCCCCCCCAAAAAATTGAGACAGTCTTGCTAAGTCACTAAGTTATCCAGGCTTGGCTTGAATTTATGAACCTTACCAGAGTTCTGGGATTTGGGGTTTGCAGCACCACACCTGGCCAGATTTCTCTTTAAAGGACAAGTGCAGCTCCTACGCAGAGTGGAGGGCACTCAGGGAAGCCCCGATGCCTGTTACAGGGCATTTGTGGGAGTAGTCTAGGTGAGTCGCTGGTGGCTTTGGCCAAGGTGGTGGTAGTAGAAACAGAAGTAGGAAGATTCCATATATAGTTGGAGGAAGAACTGACCAGACTTGTAATGGTCTGGGAAGGAGGAGTGAGGAGAAGGCAGGAATCCAGGATGACTTCTACCTCACCGCGTACCCCTTGGATAGACAGCAAACAACACATGATCAGTGTCTTAGAACAGAGACAGATGATATGAAGGAGAACATTGTGGTTTTTGGCGGCTGGACCTGGCCTTGTCTGAGGGCCCAAATGTGCCATGTGGGAGGCCTGAGATGAAATGAGGGCGGCAGCGTCTCTTCACTCAGCTCTTTGTAACCACGTCAAATCTGTGCTCAGTCAGGAGAGCACAGAAATGTGTGGTGTGGGAGACTGGAAATGCTGCCCCAACTGTATTTATCTGAACTATTGCTTAAAGGAAAACAGAAACTACCCACCAAGGAACACGTTGATAACACTTACTGCTTTACATACACCTGTGCCGAGGGATGTTTTCTTGGTTTTATTAAAGCAAATAGGAGTGTCTTATAAATGGATTCTTCCTTGGTTCCTCTCAGCACGGCTCACCTTACAGTCTCACAGCCCTCAGGAGTCAGAGGACACTGAGGGGCTGGGCTCCCCAAGTCGGACCTCAGGCTCTGCGGTCAGTGGGCCCTGCTGTGGGACCTGGAAAATGTGCCCCTGAACTAAGAAGTAATGGTGCTCTGCCTCTTTCAGATTTGGGTATCCGGATTCCAGTGGGACACGTGGACTACTTCGTCAACGGAGGCCAAGACCAGCCGGGCTGTCCCTTGTTCATTCATGCAGGTCAGAAAGCCAGAGAGTTGGCGTTTGCTTGCCCCACAGACTGGAATTCACCAGCAGCCTGCATATTGCATCAGCCAGTGTGGGCTGCAGAGGGTCTTCCCAACAGCAGCCCTGCTTGTCCTGTAACCTTGCTCAGAGTTCCCTACCCCTGAGCCCGTGCATTTCAGAGAATACCCGATATTGGCCACCTGTGTCCTATCTATGCTGCCCTTCCCACTTGCCTTAGATCTTGCTATGGTTACACATCACTCAAGCCAAAGACCTGTCTTTGGCTGGCCCCCAATTCATGGCATAGCCCACACTAGTAGCATCCTCTAGAAAGCATAGCCATGGGAGAAGCAAGCCAGTGGGCCACATGCTAGCTAATCAGAGGGTCAGCTCACTGCATGACCATGCCACTAAGCTTACTAAACCTATCAGCTATTTGCAAGTGTCTTCAAGATAACTTTCTTGAATGTATATATTTTCTAAATATGTTCTTCTGGGAAGTTTTGTTTTAATATATTCATCATAGGAATGGATAAAGAAGATATGGGTTTTTTTTTATACAATCGAGTACTACTCTGCCATAAAGGATAAGCTTGACACATTTCTAGCTAAATGGATGCATCTTGAGACCACACTCTTAAGTGAAATAAATCAGACACATGTTTAAATACCGTGTTGTTTCTCTGGTGTGAGAAACTGAAAGTGTAAATAAGGACCAAAATGTATAATAGATATTGGGAAATGGGAAGAAAATGCTCAAATGGAGAGGGGAATAAGAAAAGGATGAGGAAGGAAGAAAGGAAGGGACAAGAAAAAAGGAATAGAAGGAAAAATAGAAACAAAGCTTTTGTGAATAAGGAAGAGAGAAGGGTGGAAGGAAGGAGAGAGGAATGGGAAAAAACAAAGAAGCAAGATATATAATGTACAAATTCCCTATGATGAATGTGATCATTATGTACATCTAAAATGTACCAAAGAAAAAAAGAAAAAAGTAATTTCTTCATAGCATTCTTTTAAATCATATTAAATTTGTCAAAAGCTAAGCATTAAGAATTGTTTAGCCTTCTTATATTTTGTTTATGACCATAAACAGTATATCTGCATTTCATGTAGAAAATTTTAAATGTGGATTTCTTTTTTTTCTATAAGCTTTGTTATTTTATTTTTATTTTTGAAGTATTTACTTTTTTATGGGTACATTTCATGTGTACGTAATGATCACATTCATCATAAGGAATTTATGCCTGTACATGATAAATCTTTCTTCTTCCCATCCCCCTTCCTTCCCTTGAGCCACTCTTCGCCTTCTTGTTTACAAAGCTTTGTTGGCCCGGGATTTAGCTCAGTGGTTCCATTACCTGCCTCGCAAGCACAAGGACCCAAAGTTCGATCCCCGGTACCAAAAAAAAAAACCAAAACAAAAGCTTTGTTTCCACTTTTTCCTTCTATTTTTTTCTTGTCCCTTCCTTAATTTCCCCTCTGCCCTCCCTTGTTCCCCTTCTCATTTGAACATTTTCTTCCCATTTCCCAATATCTATTATACATTTTGGTCCTTATTTACATTTTTAATTTGTCACATCAGAGAAACAATGAAGTATTTTAACATGTGTGTTCAATTTATTTCATTTAAGAGTATGGTCTCAGGGTGCATCCATTTAGCTAGAAATGTATCAAGCTTATCCTTCTTTATGGCTGAGTACTACTCCATTGGATAAAAACCCCACTTCTTTATCCACTCATCAGTTGATGGGCATTTGGGCAGTTTCCAAGACTTAGCTATTGCAAACCGTGTTGCTATAAACATGGGTGTGCATATATCGCTGAAGTGTGATGCTTTTAATTCTGTTGGGAAGATACCAAAAAGAATAGCTGGGTCAAATGGGACCTCTAATCCTAGTTTTTTGAGGAATCTCCACCCTGATTTCCACAGTGGTTGCACCAGTCTGCACTCCCACCAAGAGTGGAGAAAGGTTCCTTTTTCCCCAAAGCCCTGTCAGCATTTGTTATTGGTTGATTTCTTTTTTTTTTTTTAATTTGATTAGGCAAGGAAAAAGATTTTATTTAAGCATTCTTTATAATTAAGGGTAAATGCTTTCTGTCCATACAATCACATTAGATTTTAAAAAATTATCATGGTTCTTCAAAAGTATCAATTTATAAACATAAAAGTTCAAATTTCCATATAGCAGCACAAATACACAGATTTTAAGTGGTTCCTCTATCACTGTCAAAATAGTTTAGAATTATTTTGGGGCTGGGAATTTAGCTCAGTGGTTCCGCAGCCCGCTGTGCAAGCGCAAAGACCCGAGTTCGATTTCCGGTACCAAATATTGAAAAAAAAAAGAAAAAGAAAGAAAGATACAATTATTTTAAAAAGTTAGGAGAAGGGGGCTGGGGATTTAGCTCAGTGGTTCCGCCACCTGCCTTGCAAGTGCAAGGTCCTGAGTTCGATCCCCGATACCAGAAAAAAAAAAAAAAGGTTAGGAGGTCAACATCCAACTGTTCAAGATTTAGGTTGAATGCCTGGGTAAGAATTTCTCATATAAGCATATAGTGATTAGATCCAAAATAATGTATTACAGAACCAATCCAGCAAAATGGAAGACTTCTAATGGAAGCATTACCTTTTATTTTGGGATGTCAACGCTTCTAATATAGGAATCAGGGTTTTTTTTTTTTCTTCTTACCTTGAGGGCCCGTAGACAGCTCCAGTGGTTTGGGTATGGAAATTACACTGAAGGGATAGCTGGGTCAAGGGTAAGGCACTAAAAAAGCTAATTAGTGCTTGATGGTACTTTTAGTACTTTGTCAGGCACAGAATTAATACTTTGGTTTCCATCAGTCAGACTACAGATGCCTACTCCCTTTCCATTCAAGTGTCCACTGCCTTCAGGGTAGGAAGATAGTGATTGGGCGGGAAGAAATTTTTGTACTGGTGATAAGCAAACAGCCTTTTAGAGATCTTTACTACCAGTGGTGGGGAAATATGTTCAGGTTCAGAGGTTCCCTCCTAAAACATTTGATCTGTACATTCTTTTTCTCCTTTTTGAAAAGGAATACTAATCAGTTTGGGACATAAATGTTACATAAGGGAAAAAGAACTTGGCTAGTACGTGAGTTTCATTAAGTAGAGACTCCTTAGTTAAAAGAGCAGACCTGTGTGGGTAGAGATGAAGAAAAAAAGGCAAAGTGTAACAGAAAGAACCTGAATGGTTATTATTTTTCACTCAGCAGTCTCCCAGAAGACTTCAGTAAGAGAGCTTCCAGAGAGGATGCTGATATATTCTTACTAGCAGCATTCAAGAAAGCAGTGGTGTGGTTTTTGGGCCAGTTAGCTAAAGAAACTAGTCCTATGCAGTCACTGGTTTGAAACTAGAGATGATTAGCAACAGCCCATGTAGTAGGAAGTATTTAGATTAAAAATTCCTGGAAGCTAAAATCTTTTATATTGACAAGATCAACAGAACATTTATTGTAGTAGGTCACAGTTGGTCACAATGACCTGCTGCAAGAAGCTCTGACATTTAAATTAGACCTCTATAAATGTAGCTCCTCTTGATTCTTTCGACTTTGTAGTATATGTATGGATAGGTTTCTACATTGAAACAATTTCATTCATCTCACTCCTCTTTTCTCATTTTTTGGAGATTAACAGTTTAGTTCAAATTTGTGAAAAGCTGATAGGTTAAAAGACAAAAAACAACTAAAAGAAGATGTATGTACCAATCAAGAATGGCTTATTATTAATTTTCTTCTTTGAACATCTTATCTAAGTGCTTTACTAAAGCTACTAGCTCAAGGTTTCCACCACATGCCTCAATTTGTTTATAGGCTTCAGATTCTAGCTCTTGAAGAGTATTCTGAGTATATTCAAAAGAACCTACATCCTCAAGATACTGGACACAGTATTTTTTAATATCTATGTTTTCTGTTTTCTGGTGCAAGATGTTCTGCACCTGGGTGCTTTCAGGTCTCGACCGAATAGCATGAATAGTAGGAAATGAGAACTTTCCTTCTGTCAGATCTTCACAAAAACTTTTGTTTTCACTATATTCATTGGAGTGGAGATTGGCATAATCTTCTCTAATTTGGGAAAAAGAGCCCAAGTGTATTAAGCAGTGGTTTTAAATCTTCTTTGTAGTCAGAGAACAACTGCATGAGACCTACTGCTAATCCAAACAGTCCACCTGTCTTCTGCAGCACCATGGTTTTATATTCTTTCTTCAGTGGGACAAATGTAATTATCCCTCCAGTAAATATCTAGGCCTTGTCCCTGGTGGAGTTCCAAAAGCTGGCAGGTAAAAAGCTTCACTGCATCTGGGTGGTCAAGGGTTAAGACTTTCTCTAAGCCAAGGAAATAAACATAATTGGCAGAATTATGACAGATGGAATCCTGTAGATGCTGTGTGCTACAGGAAAGCCACATCGGAGTTTTGAATTATCCTCAATATCATCAATGAGTAAACTGGCATTATGCAACATTTCTGTCACTTCGATGATAATCTATAGTTTGTCTTCTGAAACTTTCAGCCAATGATTAAATGCCTGTGAAAGTTTTGTTCTCACTTGCTTACCCGTAGGGCTCTAGAAGAATTCTTTGGACATTTTCTGGAGTCTTCTCCATTGTTTTCAAATTTCAAAGCCGATGGTTCCACGGTGATCTCACGACTTCACTCTGCCAGTCTGGGAGTAGATGTATCCAGCATCACCTTCCCTCTTTGTGGTTCAGATCAAGGCTTCTTTGGACACCTACATGAATCCCTCCTCCTATTTCACCACAAAACTCTCCGCCCTCCTCGGCCAACAGCGATGCCGCATTACTTGTTGCAAGAAAAATTATTGGTTGATTTCTTGATAACAGCCGTTCTTTTTGGAGTGAGATGGAATCTCATGATTGTTTTAATTTGCATCTTTCAAATGAGCAGTGATGTTGAACATATATATATATATATATATGTATATATATATATATTCTGTTTCTACTTTTTCATCTGAGAAGTGTCTGTGCCTTTCAGATGCTCATTTTTGCATTGGGTCTTTAAATTTGGGGGTGTCTGATTTCTTTTTGAGTTCTTCATATATTCTAGATATTAGTCCTTTATCTGATGAATAGCTGGCAAAAATTTTTTCCCACACTGGGTTTTCTCTTCACTCTGTTGGTGGTTTCTCTTGCTGTGCAAAAGCTTTTTGATGAGATCCTGGTTGTTGATTCTTTGTGATATTTCCTGTGCAAGCAGCATTTTGTTCATAAAATCTTTGAGTACACCAATGTCTTCGAGAGTTCTACCTAATCTATCTTCCAGCAGATTCAATGTTTCTGTTTTAATATTTAGATCTTTGGTCCATTTCAATTTCAGTTTAGTGCATGGTGAAAGATATGGGTCTAGTTTCAATCTTTGGCATATGGAAAGCCAGGTTCTCCAGCACCATTTATTAAAGAGGCTATCTGTCTTCCAGTGAAGGTGTTTGGCTCCTTTGTCAAAGATAAGGTGGCTGAGTATGTCTGGAGTTGTTTCTGTGTCTTCCAATCTGTTCCATTGATCCTCAGGTCTGGTTTTTTTTAACTAGTACTATGCTGTTTTTATCACAGTGGCTTTGTAGTATAAAGTCAGGGATTGTGGTACCCCTGCCTTGCCTTTGTTGTTCAGAATTGCATTTGGTATTCTAGGTCTCTTCTGGTTACAAATGAATTTTAGGATTGTTTTTTCTAATTTTGTGAGATATGTTGCTGGAATTTTGATTGAGATTACATTGATTCAGTATAACAATTTTGGAAGTATGGCTATTTTCACTATATTAGTTCTTCCTACCCAAGAACAAGGGATATCTTTCCATTTTCTGATATCCTCCTCCATCTCCTTTTTCAGAATACTGTAGTTTTCAATGTAGAGGTCTTTTACTTCCTTCATTAGATTGATTCCTAGATATTTCTTTTTTTTTGGATGTTAATGTGAAAAGTGTTTCCCTAATTTCTAGAAGTCTTTTTGTGACTTTTGGGGGTCTTCTATGTCATCTACAAATAATGAAAATTTAACTTCTTCCTTTCCTATCCGTATTCCTTTTATTTCTTTTTCTTGTCTAATTGCTCTGGCTAATGTTTCCACAACCATATTGAACAGGAGTGGTGATAGTGGACATCCTTGTCTTGTTCCTGATTTTAGAGTGAAAGCTTTTGGTTTTTGTCCATTTAATATGATGTCAACTGTTGGTTTGTCATAGATGGTTTTAATCAGTTTTAGATAAAGACCATTTATTCCAATTTTCTGTAGGGCTTTTATCATGAATGGATATTAGACCTTGTCAAATGCTTTTTCTACATCTATTGAGAAGATCATATAGTTTTTGTCCTTAGCTCTGTTAATATAGTGTATTACATTTATTGATATGCATATGTTGAACCATCCCTGCATCCCTGGGATGAATCCTACTTGGTCATAGTTTATAACCTTCTTGATGATTTGCTGTATTCTGTTTGCCAGTATCTTATTGAGGATTTTTGCATCTCGTTCATTAGGGAGATTGGCCTATACTTCTCTTTTTGGTTGGATCCTTTTCTGGTTTTGGTATCAGGGTAATGCTTGCTTCCAGAATGAATTCGGGAGTATTGCTTCACTTTCAATTTCATTAAAGAGTCTGAGAAGTAGCAGCATTAGGTCTTCTCTGAATTTCTTGTAGAATTCAGCAGTGAATGTATCAGTGAATGCATCAGTGAATCTATCAGCAGTGAATGTTTTTCTTTGTTGGTAGTTTTTTAAATTAGATCTTCAATTTCATTGGCTGATATTGGTTTATTTAGAATTCTTATATCTTCTTGATTCAGTTTTGGTAATTCATAGGTACCTAGGAATCTGTCCATTTCTTCTGTGTCTTTTATCTTATTAGAACATAGTTTCTAGAAGTAGGTATTGATGATTTTCTGGATTTCTGCAGGATCTGTTGTGATTTCACCCCTTTCATTCCTAATTGCATGGATTTGAGTCTTTTCTTTCCTTTTATTTATTTATTTATTTATTTATTGTACTGGGGATTGAACTCAGGATATTGTGCTTTCGAGGCAGGCAGTGACACCACTGAGCTAAATCCCTGACCCTTTTCTTTCCTTTTTTGATAAGATTGGCTAAGGATTTTTCAATTTTATTTAATCTTTCAAAGCACTAACTCTCTGATTTATTGATTCTTTGTATTGTTTTCTTAGCCTCCATTGTATGAATTTCTGCTCTGATCTTTCCTAACCCTAACCCTCACCCTCACCCTCACCCTAGCCCTAACCCTAAGAAGAAAAGAAGAAAAAAATGTCCACTTCAGGGCCTGTTTTTGCTGTCACTGATAGAATAAGCAGACAGAGCCCAGATCCAGGTTGATTAATCCCAGCAAACCAGCTGTAGATTTACAGCAGGGAAGTGGATAATCCCAGCAAACCTGTACCTTTAGTTCTACTGAAGTTCAGGCTGGTTTCTGGCTGTGAGGTTGGAACCCAATTTGTTCAGCCTGCAACACTGTGTGTGCCTCCCGCTGGCTTGAACTCAGCTCCTTGGCCTCCTGCCAATTTGAACTTGGTTCTGCCTCACCCTGACACTGGGAGCTGCTTGAAGGAGCTGGTCTGTAGCTGGTCTGAGTTCCAAGCTCAGTTGGCCCCTCTATAATATGGTTACCAGCCAATTGCCCCCTCCTGGGGGGTGACTGAACTTGAATAACTCACAAGCCACTGCAGTCTATTGGGTTCACTGCTCCATTCCTCTGGTGGAGGCCTCTGGGGTCACAAGTAGTCACCATGGGTCTGGAGGTTTGAGCCACCCCTCCCACAAAGTGGGAGAAAATGCCACTTGCTGCCTCCTTCTATGTTGAGGTCTCTCTCTTAAACTCTCTTTGTGAGCTTCAATTCTTGTTTCAGATCTTTGCTGCATTCTGGGGACCCACTTTCCTCCTTCTTGTTTTCCTCATGTTGCTATATTCCCATGTCTAGACACCAAATCTCAGAGAGATTGTTTCTCTGCTATTCACTACTCTGCCATCTCACCAGAATCATAGCTCATAGAGGTTTCAGTTCACAGTCAGCTGGCTCCAAGGCAGGGTGGCAGAAGGGCAACAGCTCATGGCAGTGGAAGCAGCAAAAGCAACAAAGGCCAGATTTCTATTTAGTATGTTTTTAGTATTTTCCTGCTTTGCCAAATTCTTACCATTTTAAAGATTCTTTTGACAATTTATTGAATAACCACAGTGTACTTTATCAAATTTACTAGTTTTCCAAATATATGCTTCTTTTAACAATTGATAAAACATTTAGCTGATCCTATCAGGAGGGATGGTTTGATCTCAGTGGCTTTGGAACGTGCATGTGGCATATTGTAGTTGACCAGTTTTCATATCTTCTTCATAACCTAATTTGAGGGGAGTATTGTTTGTCTCTGTCTCAGTTTCCTCATGGTTCTAGAATGAACTGAGCTGTAGAGAGCATCCCAGCCATGGGGGAAAGAAGTGGACACCCAGATCAAGCCTTCATTGCCAGTCCCAGAGAGAGGGTCCCATGGTGCTGAGAGCATCTGAAGACCCCAGTACCCTGAAGTTGCAGCTAACTCCTTACCTCCCTGCCCCAGCCGATCCACCCAGTGTGGGTCACTGCATGCTTTTAAGTAGTAAACAACAACAAGATCAAGTTTTAGGGACATTAGGGTATTTGGTAAATCCATCGCATCAGTTATCTGTCGATGATGAACTCTTTCCTGGGTGGGGTGTAATGAGGTAGTGAAATGATTGGTTGTGTGGGTGATGAAGGTAAAAATGTGCAGGCAGAAAACCATTTCCAGAAATGGAGACCACATCCCCAGTTCCCCCAGTTCTCTGTGTGATCCCATTTTGTGAAAGAGAGTTTGTATGATCACACAGAATGGATCTCAAATCAAGTAATTTTCCTGGAGTTTACATGCCTCAAGAACAGTCAAAGGAAAGGGGAGAATACAGCAACCATGTCTTTTAATATTTTTAAAACATGGCTTAGGGGACATCCAGTGTATTTATAACCTTCTGGGATATAAAATTCAGCTGTTACAGTAAGTAGCAGGAGGGAGTTTCCATTGGTATTGACTGAAATCTTGGTTGTGGTTTTCTTCCCCTGCTCAGGTTACAGCTATCTGATCTGCGATCACATGAGGGCTGTCCACCTCTACATCAGCGCCCTGGAGAACTCCTGTCCCTTGATGGCCTTTCCCTGTGCCAACTACAGGGCCTTCCTGGCTGGGCACTGCCTGGATTGCTTTAACCCTTTTTTGCTTTCCTGTCCAAGGATAGGTAAGATATAACCCCTTTGGCTCCTTTGGATAATTTGGAGAAAGTTCAAGTCGTGACAGATGTCACCTCTTTATGTCCCAGTCTGCTGTGGTCAAGAGGTCTATTCAAGAGGGGAAAAGAAAAATTAACTGATGAGGGTTCAGCCTGCTCTCACTGGGAGATGGTGGTTGCCGTCCCTTTCCCACCCCTCCCCTCTCTCTACACTATGCTCTGTGGCTGCCTTTGCTTTGACCGTACCCTTCCCATGTTCAGCCTCTCTCCTGGAAGTCCAGCCCCAGGTGCTCTCTAGAAACATTGGGAATGTTCAGAGCCCCTGCCTACCCTTGGCCCACACGATTCCATGCAGGGTCCTGCTAGCTGGGCTCCCATTGCTCATCTCAGCTCTCATGGGGACTCCCCAGAGGGGCACACCAGCCCACTCCAGAGGTGTGTGCTCACCAAGGCCATGTGCCGGCTGGGGTAGGGAGGCAGCTAAATGCTAGGCAGCCTGGATGACACACACCAATCTGGGGAAAGGACTCCAGGAAGGCTGAGGGATCTGGGCTCTACTTCACCTGTGCAGATCATTGCCGTGAATAACCTAGGGGGAAAAACTCCAAGAAAAACACTCCTAGGTGGTGAAAATGGCTCCTCCCCCTTCCCCTTCACTCCTGCTTCCCACCACCCCTGGCTGCTACTCAGACATACAGCAGCCTGTCCCTGCTCATATGATGACATGGATACCAGCTTGAGGACGTAAAAGGAAGGGTAGCTTCCCATAGCGAAATGAGGCAACTGTATTCCCTACTCAGTGGACGTAGCGCATGATTCCGCCAGACGTGGCAGACCAGCTGATGAGACAGTCACTTCACACACTCTCCCAGCTTTATCTCTCTCCTCCCCTCATCCCCCAGGGGATGCTAACCTAATGCATGTACTGCTGAGCGTACATCATGTTTCTCCATCCTGTGAGCCTTTGCCTAACTGCTCTCTGTCCCAGGAGTCCTCTCTTGACTGCCATCCTCTACTATTCACTGGGTTCCCACTGCACAGATAGAACTGTCACCAAAAAACTTTGCAAGTTACAGATGTGATTTTCAATTTCTTATGATTATCTATGAGAATGAGCCATATGTTCTGAAGAACATATTTCCTGTTTACTTGTGTGTTTATCCCCACTGGGCTTTGTTGGGGTCCTGGGACTTATCCCCGAGCTTGTAATGAGCACACAGTGTAGATGCCCATAGAAGAGTGGGCACTGAGTTAATCAGCAGGTGGCTGGATGCTGTGGGACCCTGAACAGGCCTCCTCAATCCTCTGCCATCTTTGCTTTTTTATTTCTAGGGCTGGTGGAACAAGGTGGTGTCCAGATAGAACCGCTTCCCAAGGAAGTAAGAGTCTACCTACAGACCACTCCCAAGGCCCCATACTGTGGTGAGTCGGGCTGCACATGAGCTCAGTCCTGCCACTTGCCCGCCAGAAGAGCCCAGGGCCCAGCCTGAGCTGTGAGCAGCCCAGTGTGGGAGCCCATGTGCTGGGGTGAAGTCCTGGGGTAAAGATAGGCTGAGAGGTGGGGAAGAGCTTCTGCTCTCAGAAAGCTCCAGAACTGTGGGTGAGTCCAATCCATGGCTCTGCTGATGAGAACTTGGGGACATCTTGGGGGTCCTCCTAGAGTGGTACGGGAGACTTCAGTTCCCTCCTTCCTGCACACCTCTTTGCCCCTCATTGGCACCCACACACGTCTCTCAGCCCTGCTGCCCTTGGCCGAGGTCGCTGGGGGTGCCCGCCCTCCCCTTCACCGACTGTCTCCACTCATTCACAGTGGCCACCACTACATTTCTTTGAAGCTAAGATGCCAGTGACTGGAAAAGATGTAAAATGTGAAAGCAAAGTCTGTCGTAGAGTCCGTGAGACACAGCATGAATGGGGCCATCCTTTCCCCTGAGCTGTCTGTGTCTTGACCGAGGTGCAGCGTGGCTTACTTCCTGCTTGATGTCTGGTCTTGAGCCCCTCCTGTCTGCTGTGTGGTGTGAGCAGGACACAAGTATGCTGGTGGGGATGGCAATTTATGGCCACCCTAATCTTAGCTGATTTTCTGATCAACTTGTGTCAGGTGCATGGAGGGGTCTTTGTGGCTATATCTCCCTGTCGCTGGAAGGCCAGGTGCAACACGACATGAAGCCCAGAGCTGAGATTCTGTGTCTCGAAGACTCGGATCTGAACCTCAGTTTCTCTACCTACCAGCTGTTCAATCAGGAACAAGTTACTTGAACTTTTTTGTGAAAAATGGGAACAATAACAGGACTTACAAGAATCCACAGTGAGGATGAAATAGTGTCCTCCAGGCAGTCTCTGGCACAGAGACAGCTGAATCAATAATTGTTCCCTTCCCTCGGTCAATCAGAGGGTTTAGAAAAGGTGGGGGTGCTTCCGCCTTCACACGAGAAAGAGCTCGAGGCTACCCTGGGGGACAGAGTGGGTGTGGGGTCAGCTGTGGGCTGTTCCCACATCAGCTCAGTGGACAGCCAGGCTTGGAGAGGAAGGAAGTGGAGGGACAGGCCAGCTCTGAGGGACCAAGTGGGAGCTCAGGGACACTGCTGGGCGGGAAAGTCAAGATTTCGCCCCAGGCCTCCTGACTTGACATCCCTGCTTTCCCCGTGGCACCTCCTTTGTCCACTCTTGCTTCTCTGCTCCCTCTTTTTTATTTATTTATTTACTTATTTTCCCAGCACCAGGGATTGACCCCAGTGGCTTTGTGCTGAGCTACATCTCCTTTTTTATTTTGCATTTTGAGACAGGGTCTCACTAAGTCACCAAGCTGCCCAGGCTGGGCTCAAAGTTGGATTCCTCCTGACTCAGCCTCCCAGGGTGCTAGGATTACAGGCCTGCACCACCGTACTTGGCTCTGCTGCCTCTGTGATAGCCTGCTCCCCACTGTCCTGCCAGAGCTGCCTGTCTGAGGCCAGCACAGGGAGGATGTAGTGTCTGGTGGTGGAGGTAGTGCTGCAGGACCAACATTCTGGCTTCTCAGGCAGCGACCTGAGCTAGCTCCTCCTTGTCCACGCTGGGCGGGACAGCGAGGTCATGCTGAGAGGGTAAAAGCATTCTGAGGTCTCTGTGGAGGGAGTCACAGACCAGTGATTTTTCTGTTTCGTGCTTGTGTGAGGCCTCTTCTCTGCACCCCAGAAACATGGTCTGCCGGCTCAGAAACCTCAGAGCCAGGATGAGCTGCTTGCGGGTGCCATAGCCTTCCATTCCAGGGTGCCAGCCAGCTCCCCTCCCAGGACCACGTCTGGGCCACCTGCCTGGGTGTGCTCAGGTGGGCAGACCTGAGAGGTGGCTCTCGGTCTCCAGCCACTCCAGGGCACCATGGTTCTGGACGCTCAGCCTGTTTTGACCTTGGCAGTGCTCATGAGGACAGTGGTTGCCCTTGATTTCTGCCAGTCATGGGCCAGATCTTCCACCAAATGACTTTTCACACAATATTACTTTTGCCTTGTAGGGGGTTATTGCTCACATGCAAGGGAACCGGGGCACACAGAGGTGTGCTGACTGAAGTGTGGAGGCACAGCTTGTGGCATAGGCCTCCTCTGGCTGCAGACTTCCCCAACTGACTGACTGTCCAGGGCTCTACCTGAGCCAAGCTCCTGTGCAGATTTGATTTCACTACCACTTCCTGTCATACCATGTGGCCTGGCTCCCCTGGGGTTTCCAGGGCAATGAGAAAAGAGAAGCAAAAGCTTAGTAAAATTTCTTGATTGATCCTACCTACTAGCAAAGGAAAATATGACATCAAGTCAGCCCAGAGATTTAAATGCCTGAAGCCTTTTGAAGTTGGTCATTTTTTGCACATTGCAAATATCTATCCCAATTCAGACCTTGCCTAGCCCATAACAGTTGACATCCCATAGTAACAGCTGGGAGAGAGAGAGAGAGAGAGAGAGAGAGAGAGAGAGAGAGAGAGAGAGGCTTTCTTCGATGGAGAAGGAAGGATACAAGGCTCCCTTTTCTTCTCATGAGTCCTGGGCATCTCAGCCCATGCCAGTGAGCCATATTACTAACCCTAGTGAGCCCAGATGGACCACAGCTCCCATCTTGCTTTGTGCTGAGTCTCCCTGTACCCAGTGATGTCACCCAGGAAATATGACAAATGGCACAGTACAGATAGGGAAGCAGTGGAGGATTGCATCTCTAGCTACGTCCCCATCACTGAAGGAGCCTGGGAAATGTTCTGAGACCAAAACTACTGGCAAATGCCAGCAGGTGTGTTTACCCCTTGTTGAAGAAAGGATAGCATGTTAGGGAAGGTGCCCTCCCCTCTTTGTCTGTACCAGAGATTGAACCCAGGGCCTTCTCGCTGAGCTACATCCCCAGCCAGTTTTACTTTTCTGAGGATCTCACTAAGTCACTAAGCTGCTCAGGCTGGCCTTGAACTTGAAATCCTCCTGCCTCACCTTCCCAGAGTGCTGGGATTACAGGCATGCACCGCTGTCCCCAGCTTTCTTCATCTCTCTAGCCAGAGGGACAGCAGGCCCCAGAGGAGTCACCATGAGCCAAGCTGTTCTCCCCATCTGTATCGAAACCCACTTCGAGAAGTCCAGCATCACACTGCCCAGGGGAGAGTCTAGCGGCCCGCAGGCCATAGCTGCCCCAGGAGGGGACCAGACATTACATACACGCAACTCCATCCCCTGACACTGTATGTGGGCAGGAGAGGTGGGCCACTGGGGCCTTCTGTGAGTTCATTATTTTGTGTATGACTTAGTGCGCTTGTGCAACTGTAACAAAATACTGGGTAATACTGAGTAATTTATAAAAAACTGAAATTTATTTTCTTATAGTCACGGAGACTGGGAAGTCCAAGGTCACAGTGTTGGCACCTGGTGTCTGTGAGGCTGTTCTGTTTGCTTCAGCCTGGCATTTGTTGCTGTGTCGCTGTGTCCTCACTGAGCAGAAGGGCAAAAGGGGCTCTAGCTAATTTCATGGAGCCCTTTTATAAATTACAATTGACTCATGAAGGCTCTGAGTGAGTCACTTCCCCAGAGTCCCTAGGTTTTAATACTGTTGCGTCGGGGATTAAGTTTAAACATGACATTTGGAAGGGAACAAACATTCAAACAATAGCAATATATGATAGATTCTTTTTGGCTTTTTGAAGATTACATCACCATGACAAGGTCACCAGACAGAGAACAGTGAAACGTTCAAGCATTACAAGCAATAAAGCAACCCTGAATGTCCCCAGCCAGCACTGTCCTGAGCATCCTGTTAGCTCTCTTCAGTCCCAGTCTGCCTGTGGGGGGCATCTATCTGCTACCTCACCTTACCCTTGGGAGGCTGAGACTCGGAGATGGTAGATGAGCTCCTTGGGGTTCGGGCCTACCAAGAGGTAGAGTCAGCATGAAGCTTTCGGCTCCCTGATCTCTGCCCCGGCCCAGTCTCTGCTGTGTTTTGGTTTCCTAGTGCATCACAACCTTGTGGAGTTTTACCTGCAGGAGGCAAGAAAAAAGGACACCAGCATTGAGATCAGCTTTGTTAGCACCAATGTCACCTCCTCGGTCAAGATCACCATGTACGTAAGTGTCCCGTGTGGCTGACCCCTCTCCTCTGGGGATGTCTGTTCATTTTACATATTTACAAATGTGCAGTGTCCCAGACAGTCCAGCTAAGGCACTGTGCCATTGCTAATGACTGAGACTAACTGCCTGGGCGGGGTGGGGTGGGGCAGCAGAACGGTCCTTAGACACGCACCGGGGAAATGTCCCAGGTCTGGGGTCAGTACTGGGCCCAAGCACAATGTGCTGAGATGACAGCAGACAAAGCCTGCACATCTGACAGGTGGTTAGGAATAACAATCAGATGCCAGGTAAGGAACAGTGCTCAGGAACTTAAGCAGGGTTACATCAGGGATGCCAGCAAGGAGAAGGGCCTCTCTCACCAACCCTGGGAGGCCTGGCCAGAGCCTGAAGAGCTCCACTCCTGGAAAGGGGGAGCAGAACAGAGCGCAAGGTGGAGGCTCAGTCAGCAAATAGGTGCAAGGTGAAGGCCAGGCAAGTATCCAGGAGGGCGGGGTGCTGGGTGCTTCCAGGGCCTGGAACTGTGGCTGGTTGCTTCCTTCCCTTGTTGGGGTAAACTTAGGTCTGGGCCTGGTGGGGCCAGGCTTGAAGTGAGAGAGCAAAGAACCTCAACTGTCAGGAACCACAAGCCTGGCAAGGGATTAAAAGTCAGTGGCACTGCTGCCTGCCTTGCAAGCGCAAGGTCCCGAGTTCAATCCCCAGTACCAAAGGAAAAAAAAAAAGGTCATGCTTTTGGGCCAGGGATTTAGCTCAGTGATTTCTCCACCTGCTGCGCAAACGCAAGGACCTGAGTTCAATCCCCAGTACCCCCCCCCAAAAAAAAAAGTCAGTGGCAATGGTGCATGTTTCTTTTAAAAGCAATTGGCTGAGTTACAAGCTAGCAGAAAATAGCCTGATCAGCTAATGCTACTGCAGACAGAATCCAGTCAGGAAAACAACATGTGTTAGGTAGACTGATGGGAGGAATATCACACAATGCCCTAGTGACAAATGTGTTGGGAGAGCTGAGAAACTGAAGGGAGATGAAGGTGCAGCTGCAATTTTAGAGATTGGGATCAGTAGAAGCTTCTGAGGCAGGGCCAGTGGGACAAAGCAAGGGGTGATCATGGAACAACCCTAGAGCTGGGTTCACAGGGCAGGCTGCTGACAGGAGCTGAAGCCATGCTGGAAATGCAGGCCCTCCAGAATCCCTGCCCAATTCACCCACCCATCTGTGAAAGCTGCCTGGGGTCACACCTCATGGGCACATGCTGGCAAAGGAGCCAAGAAATAGAGAAATGACAGGCATTTGTGCAACCCCAACATTTCCTTTTTCTTTGTTTGTTTGTTTGTTTCTTGGGGCAGGGTCTCACTGTGTAGCCCAGGCTGGCCTTGAACTCATAACAATTTTCCCACCTCAGCCTTCTGAATGCTGGGGTTACAGGCAAGCACCACCATGCACAGCAACATTTTCTTCTAATTGGAGATGTTACCTAAGCCAAATCCCCAAACCATTCCTATAAAGCATCTCTTATATTGTTTATATTTTATAAGTTCCTCTGGGCAATTTCTCAAGAAGAACAATCTTATTTTTTTCTCTGACGTATTTCAGAACACTTCTGGGTGGGAGGGGAAGGAACAGCTCTTAAGCAGTTATGTAAGGTCTCCCCAACAGAGGGAAAAATATGTGCCTAACACCAAACGACATGTCATCACTCTGCAAAGGCCAGAAAGGAAAACAAAACCAGGCGGTTGAGGAGGGCCTTCCTTCCTGCTGTGTGGTAGAGAGGAGGCCGTACCTCTCTCCTCCTCTTCCACTTTCTCAGAGCCCAGGGAGAAATAAGAAAGGCCTGCAGCAGTGGACAGACCAGGGCCCAGGGGCAAGCTCCTTCCTCCTGTGCAGTGCAGCCTGTCCCCAGCTGGGTGACTGTCAGAGTGGCCTTTGATTCACATGTGGGCCACACCATTTCTCCCCTTTGTTAGCCCCCAACCCTGCCCCCCCACCCTTTCTGAAATACCCAGCTAGACCATCACTCCATACTTCTCTCCCTTCTTTGCCTCACTTTGATCTTGGTCTCCTTCTTTATCCTTGGGTCAGCCTGCAGTAGGACCTGAATCTTACACAGCAGTGGGGAAAATGAGGCCCAGGCCAAGAGCATGGGTTAAGAGAGATCTGGTTTCCATTTTCATGCTGAGACCCCTGGGCTGAAGTCCACAGGAACCAAAACCCCTATGGTCCAAGATCAAGACCATGCCAGCATGTAGGGAGGCCGACATTTACATATACCTATGTAACTCTGTGACTCTGGCCACCTTAAATTGGAGGACTTGCTCAAAGCCACACAGCTGGGAAAAGACAAAAGCTGGGTTCCATCCCAGCTCTGCCAGGCTTCAAGATTGATTTCATTGTTACTGTTTTTCCTGTGTACACTTTCATACCTAGCCCAAAGCAGACTAGCCCCACATTAAATTCTTTGAATAGAGAGGCCCTAAAAAGAGCTTCTATTTCCAGAAACTTGGACCTAAAAGTGAAGATGTCCTGCACCTAGGAATCCAAGAGGGAGGGCCATCTTTTCTAGAACTGAAATTTAAGAGCTACTGGTTTTTTTTGCTGCAGTGTCTACTTGTTTATTCTCAAAAATCAAAGAATTTTTCCTGGGTCATGTTTGAAACTGGGGCATGTGCATGGTGGGGTGAATGAGGGTGATAGAAGGAACCAGGGTCCTAACCTTCAAGGAGCCAGCCCACCAGAGGTGCATGGCAGCCAGCCAGTGCTACCAGCAGAGCCTGGCCAGAGCCAAAGGAAAGCAAAACAGAAAGTGTCACTAACTTTCCTTTTCTCTTTCCTTTTCCCTTTCCCTTCAGAGCTAGACAACAACTCCAGGGGAAAGGAATCTTAGCCCACCCCAACCTTCCATGCCAGATAAACCAAGTGGTATTCAAGCTTCAGGCTTCCAGTCGAGTTTGGAAAAAACACAGGACCATTGTTGGGAAGTTCTGTACAGCTCTTCTGCCTGTCAAGGACAGGTAAGCCCCAGCTTCTCCCCAGACATACAAACACACCACCAGTCCTGACCTTAAGTGTGTTGCTTAATGAAGTTCAATCCCATCATAGTAATTGCCATTTTAGAAGCAGAAATGACAAAGACCAGGGTTTTCCTGAACCTTCTGTGGCACTATCTTGAGTTGGGGATATTAGGAAGACAAAGAGGATGGGCTTTAATTCCCCTCCCCTACTTCAGTATAAGAAATTTTTTTATCTGTTTTATGTATTTGGTTTCAATGTGAAAGTTTATTGGAACAACATTTTCTCATTGAATAGTTCCTCTTTCTTAACCTCCACTTCAAATGTGTCACTGGTCACCTTCATGAGGATGGGTCTAGAATCCACATCCACTTTCCCTTGTCTCTAACAGGCAAGTGTATTATTAGTGTCACCACCTCTGGCACTTGGAGGATGGGAGTAAACTCTATTGTAGGTGAATGTAGAGTCCTTTCAGTAGACTTCATGGGAATACAAGGGTCACACAGTTTGTAGCCTTCTCTCCTGACCAACCAAGAACTTGCCCCTTGTTGCTCTTTTCTTGCAGTAAAAAGACAGTCTGCTTACCTGAGCCAGTGAACTTACAAGAGAGTGGGTCTGTTTTTCATGACTGGAAAATATCCTGTGTATAGCATAAGCCTGGGCAGGACACATCTCCCTGGAATTTTTTGAGGTGTGTGTGTATGTGTGTATACAACTTGTGTTAGACCATTATTACTAAGGAAGAAGTTAAAATTCTTGGTTATTTTTCTCATAATTAGCTCCATGGAAGGGAAAGATGATTCATTTGATACAACCTGATCTCCATTGCCAATCTGAAAAGCTTTACATAGATACTATTTTCACTTCCCTATTCTGATGTCATTGCCATTGCCTCATTCCTTGGGCATCTGTACTTAGGAGTCAGTGGAAACATATACAGAGAAAAATGGCTTTTAAAAAATCATGGAATATCTGAATCATTTAATTGTTTTATTGGGATGGAATTCTGTTACATTGAAAAATGATTTATAATCTATGGGATTGGAGAAAACAGCAGATATTGAATTTTCTGTGTCAAAATAAGACCTGAAAAAGAATGCTTGGAACAAGAGAGGAGACAGAGGGAGGGGAGGAAGATGGTACCATTCATCATCCCTTATCATCCCTCCTCTGGATATCTGGGAGTTTTGGAGGATCTCAGAGATGTTTTGGGATTATCTTCGGGTCAGTATTCCCCAAACTTTTATCTGCATAAATAACCTTGCATTGGCCACAGTCTGTGGGGTGGGGGAAGCATAACAAAATGAAAATGCACATGGTGAGCTCAAATGGAGAATTTGAGAATTGGACAAAAGAATTCTTCTCATGATAATCTTCCATGGGGAAATGCAAGGAATAGTGCCATTGCCTGGGACAAGTGGCAATAGGGGCTGCTGTCCCCCAGGCCTGACACAAGAGGGGAGGGAGCAACCCAGGCTGGGGACAGAGCAGCAGGGTGTGGACCTGCAGCTGGGGTCACAGCCAGCCCTGTGGTCCTGCAGGGAGGGCCAGGAGTGCAGATGCTCAGACCCTACTCTTCTCCCTCCTTCATTCTCCTGCTTGTGCTCCCCAATTGGGTGATCCCAACCAGAAGCCGGAGAACAGGAAGCCCCTCCGTGTGACCCCAACAGACCCAGGGCATTCAGCAGGACAGAGAAGGGTGGAGAATGGGTGGTGTGAGCAGAGAATGTTTGGAGGTAACAGAGGTTTGACATATGCCTTCACTAGTTTCTCCCCTGGATTTTTCTCTTCTTTAAATTAACTTTATTTTATTTTATTTATTTATTTATTTGGTACTGGGGATTGAACTCGGGTCCTTGTGCTTGCACAGCAGGCGGCAGAACCACTGAGCTAAATCCCCGATCCTATATGTGCTTTTTTTTTTTTTGGTACCGGGGATCAAACTCAGGTCCTTGCGCTTGCACAGCAGGTGGCAAAACCACTGAGCTAAATACCCGGCCCCCCTTATATATGCTTTTAAAAAGAAACTGCTGCCTCATTGATCACTCTCCTGCAACAAAGGTAGAAAGAATGATGTAAGCAACAGGCTGCAATCACTTCACCTGGTCTAACCACCAGGGCACTGGCAGCCAGAGCCTGGGGCTTTCCGGGCTGTGACAACACTGGCAGAAGGCTGAAGAAGGGGGCACTCTGAGGATGCCCCCCACAATCATCCATTGTGCCACAGCCAGTGTGAAAAAGTCACATCTGGAGAGACTACATGTTCCCCACTACATAAGCTTGCAATTTCCTTACTTTTACATTCTCTCTTTGCCCCATGAGAGCGTCCCTGGAGGAGCGAGACATATACTTCTTCTTCAGTTTTCTTTGCTGCCTGTTGCACTTCTGTGATCAAAATGATATTATATGATGCTGATTCTGAGGTTAAACTGACCTGACCTGCTTTTCATGGTTCTTGTACTTTTGCTTTTGGGCACCGCCCTGTGTTTCTTCACTAATAATATCTCCTTATTTTCAAGCACCATTAAACCCATTCATGTGTTATTTTGATCCCCATCAGAAATGCTGGATCATTACCTTACATGGAAGCACATTTCCCTTGTTATTAATCCTAGGATTAAATACAGTAAGAACACACTGTGTCTCAAATTCTAACTAGATACTGTGGCCTGCTGAAGTCTCTGAGTCCCAGGCCTGTTTTTCCTAATAAAAATGAGAAAGTTATCAAGTATAAGGGAGATGTTAAAAACTTATGGACAATGCATGGAGATTTGCTTCTATATCCTCAGTGGATTGAAAGAAAATGAAACATGGAGAGCTTTTTCACTATGAGATTCTGTACTATTTAATGGAGGTTCTATATATGTCCTGAGATCATCCTGTCCAGGTTACATGGCCCTGGCCTTAGGAAACTTGTTTTTAAAGAGACAGGCTGTCTGCAGTCCTGGGAAAAGGAGAGTTAACAAGGAGCTCTGTGGGATGGGATAGCATAGCTGGATGGGCTCAGGCATAGCTTGGCTTCCCCTCCACACCCACACTGCTCACAGTATTCTACTGGGCTCTTTCCACAAGTGAAGACTATTGCCAAAGTAATTCAGTGCAAAAGCCAGATTCACCACCAAGCCACACCCCTGGAAAGTGCAAAGGAACTTGATGCTGAGATAACTGCATGAAAACATCAGCTGACACTGCATGGCTTTTTGCTATGTTCTGGGTGCCATTCTGAGGTGTCACACATACCAACATAGTTTAGCCTCTCTGCAAGACTGTAGGCTACAACTGTTACCCACTTTACAAATGAAATGCCTAAGAGACTGAGGAACTTTCAAGGATCCAGGGTTCAGACACCAGCTGTCTGACCCCAGAGCAGGTGATCAAGTGGTACCACAGCCAGGCCTCAGGAACGGGACCCTCTAAAACCATGCCCAACAAAGACCCTCCCAAAGGCCCATGGTGGGACTCCCAGGACTGGCTACATAATTTGCAGAGTCCAGTGCAAACTAAAAAAATGAGCTCTGTATTTTAAAGAATGAGAATTTCAAGATGAAACATCCCCAATCTTTCTTCATTATTTCTTCATTTATTTATTTTTATTTTTTCCCCCATTAAGTTTATTGGTACATTTTAGGTATAAAATACATTTACATACATAATTGGGATCTTGTACCATTACATAAGTATCTTGGTTCTTATTTTTTTCCCCTTCCCCTGCCCTCCCTTCACCCCCCCACCCTTCCTTATTTGCAAAGATTTTATTTCCATTTTTTTTCTTTTTCTCATATTTTTTCTTTTCCTTTCTTTCGTTTCCCCTACCCCTCCCACTTCCCATGCTCCTTTAGACCGTTACATCCTATTACACAATATCAATTATACATTTTTAAAATGACAATATCAAGATCTAGGAGACATTACCACA